TTATTATTATTATTATTATTATTATTATTATTATTATTATTATTATTATTATTATTATTATTATTATTATTGTTATTATTATTATTATTACTATTATTATTATTACTATTTTTTATTGTTATTATTATTAGTTATTATTATTACTATCGATTATCGTCGGTAGTAGTGTCGTTAGTAATTATTACTATCATTAAATTTTTTCATTTCAAGACAAATGAACAAAAAAAAGGTCGATCCAAGCAAACCAGGAAAATTGGTTCAGTTCGTTTAAATTATAAATGAATGACTGAATTTCATTTCCAATTTTCCATAAAACAAAATCGATAGTTCTAATAAAACATGCTGAATTATAAAGTACCATTTACTTTCAATTGTAATTAAAAATTTTTGCGATATAAACGATTAAGGGAATATAATTAACTGATAATTACTGATCGTATAGCTTCCTTAAAACTTTCCGGAATATCTTAAACATTACGGTTATACCTTTATTTTCTTTCATCAGTTTTTTTTTTCTTAATTTTCAATGCTCTGTGACTATAATTTCAATTACCCATTGAATACTTGTTTAAATTGTTAAATGTTCAAAAAAAAAAAGCACTGCATATAATGCGATACATAAAGAAAATTGCGTTACAGGGAGAAAATATGACAGATGGTTGCATTTCCGGAAATATTGGTCATTTTATTTACGGATCCTATCAAACTACTAATATCCTGTTGAAGGTGTAAAAATGATCAAAAAATTTTTCCGTCTAAATTAGATGGCTTACTAGAAATTGCAGGATGAAATTCCATATTTCTTATTTAATTATTTAAAATTGATTGAGCTTAAATTCCGGAATAACTTTTTATAAATCATATATAATGAAATCATTTTTGTCATGAAATTTTCAAATGGCTATCATTAATATAATTAGCCGAACCAAATGACCAATCAATTTTTTACAATTGACATATATATTTTCCGATGATTGTTGCTGAAATTGCGTGGATTGAATCAAGGAGAAGAAATGAATCAATAACTCCTTTTGTTGTTGATCTGATACCGCGGGGTATATATATATGTGTAGATATACTGTGGATATACTGTACAATGTAAGCTATAATAATGCTACTGTACAATGTAAGCTATAATAATGTGTCCATAATTTCTATATGGTTTAACAAGAGTTTCATTACATATGCGCTAATCTTGTAATCTCAAAAGTGTACCAGTATGCTCCCTTCTCGTGGAATGCGAAGGATCCTGAATATCAAAAATCATTTTACAAATGTATTGCAGCAAAATCAGTTGGATAGATGATATCGAACGACTTTTCATTTTTGTTATTTGTCATATCGATTGTTGTTATTCTAACAAATTTATCATAATAGAAGTTTAATTATCCATGTTTGAGGTATAATCAACCAAAGAGGCTGAAAGATCGTCAATCTTTGTCACAGTTAAAGAAAATCGCTGACAACGATAATGTTTTTTTTTTTTTAGTAATGTATGAAGCGTAAAATTATTCATTGATTGCGGAAAATTTATTAGTGTTAATTTTTCTTTTTTCGCAGTAATATATCTTGAATGAGATTTTTTCAAGTATTTTTTAATAATATATTGAAGTACATTTGCATTTGAATAAAATATTTGAATAGCAAAGACTAAAAAAAAAAAAATGTATTGTACACATTTTGTTCTTTTTCAATCTCATTTATATATTTGCAAATAATTTGCCGTCAAAAAAATGGATAAAAGGAAATTGGATAAGTTTTATTCCAGGATTAAAGATTGCAAGGAATGGAAATTGGAAAGTGTAATTTGATAATTCAATAAATAATAAAACAATACCTTCCTCTTTCTTTCGTTTTTTTTTATGAATACTTTACTTCAATATTGTCGATTATTACGCTTAATTTCCCTTTCTTATTAAACAATATTTCTACGTACATTAAGCAACTTCCTGCCTAAAAACATATCATAAAATAAAAAAAGAAATGGAAATGAAATAGGGCATGCTATTTCAATCAAAATGATATAATTTTTTTTTCTTATTTCAAATAAAGAATAGTTAATTTTTTTAAATTAATTTTTAATTTTTAAAATTTTGGAGTAGATGGAAGAGTAGCACAAAATTCAACCACTAGTATAATAGAATAAAATTATTCAAGTCCTTTTTTTTTCCCGTTCAAAAGTAAAAATAAAATATTCAAAAATAGATCATAAATCGCAAATACTTTAATAAATAAATGATAAGTGATATTATTTAATAAATAATATATAATTCTGATAAGTAATTTTAATAAACATTTGATAAAATAAACTAAAGAGTGAAATAAAATGGAATAAAACAAAAAATTATTTAATAAAATCCTAATAAATACTTCCAATAAATAATAAGTGGAAGTAAACAAATAAATAAACTAAATTGTAAATCCATTTTTATTTAAAATATTTATGAATGCACCTTTTTTTTCGTTAACAAATAAAGTTAGATATTGCAAAAAAA